TTCTTCTTCTTCTTCTTCTTCTTCTTCTTCTTCTTCTTCTTCTTCTTCTTCTTCTTCTTCATCATCATCATCATCATCATCATCATCATCATTTCTTTTCTCCGGGCTTTGGAGGGCGCGCAAGTAAAGCTGGCGGAACTCGCAGCCACCACGTCTCTCTTCCTGTAAATGAATGTTATTTATTTGCTTTTCCTTGTTGACGGAACACAAATATCCAGGCCAGGGAGAGGCAGGCTGGCGAGAGAAGGACAGCCCACTCTTCCGTGGACAGGAGCAGTCTATCTTAAAAGGCCCCTTCCCTTTGCGAGCGGGCAGTTCTTCAACTGCCTTTAAGGCCCCCGCCGGATTGTTCCCCCTCCGGGCCAAGATCTGGTCCGGCCGGGATTCCACACGTGGAAAACTCGGCAATCCTTCAGGTCCAGGTCCTCGTCCCCAGCGCGGCTTTTCCTTTGCCGCGGCTTCCCTCGGCCAGCCCGGGCGCCGTTTCCATAGCAGGGAGGGCAGCATCGCGGGCGAAGATCAGATCGCTCTTCCAGGAGCTGGAATGGGGTTAGGACGAGGCGGGGAAGAGCCACGTTGAACTAACGTCCCTAGGGGGTTTCCTAGAGCTTTGCAAGAAATAGGGGTAAAATGCATTAAAGCAACTCTTCCCCCCAAACGTGGTGGGATTAAGGCTCTTCGTATCCAGCCTTCCACCACATCAAGGAGTCCTCAAAATGAGGAAGAGTAGAGATCGATTCCCCTTAATTCTCCTTTTTTTTTTTTTTTTTTTTTGCAATTTCTATTAATTTCGACCCCTTGCAAGATCACGTGGGAAGGAGTTCCACAGGCTCCCTTTTTTGCTCTAGAGCAGTGTTTCTCAACCTTGGGAACTTTAAGATGTATGGACTTCAACTCCCAGAATCCCCCAGCTCTAGAAAGCCCCTGCCTGCTTAATGGAGACTGGCGGCACACGCAGGTCGTGCGATTGGGCCCTGGCTGCGTTCACACGTGCTTTACTTAGTTGACCCAATTTCTTGGGCTGTGAAATCTGATCAGCCATCCCAGCTGGGTTTGGGGCAGATGGCAGGCTAAAAAGAGGATGGGCAATGGGGGTAGGCTAGTGTGTTGTGTTACCACCAACTGGTTTAATTTAACTATGGTTAAAACCATGGTTATATCTGTGGTTTAATGTCTTCTCCAAGCTTAATCATTGGAAACGTGTGGATTTGTGTATGGTATAAATCCAACTAATGGTGGCTTATTTAGCAAATTAGGACAAATGCTGGCTTGGAGCAATGGGGGGAGCCTCTAGGTGTCGTCTTGGGTTCAGTCCCAGGCATCACCCAATGGCTGGATTCTCAGAAGGCTAAAATCATTTTTTAAAATCAAAATTTTTAAAAAAGAGTTAAAATCCAACCTAGTTTTATCTACCAGAATATGCCAAAGAAACCGTGACTGTGTTTTGTGAACCCGGTCAGCCTGAGAAAGCTCCTTGTTTCATCTCCTATCCACCAGAGTTGACAACTTTGGGGGTAATAGAGTACACTCCCCATCATCCACAACCCCAAACAGCTATGCTTTACAGGGTTTTTAATGATCTCCGGGAGCTTCAGTCCATCTTTCCATGACTTCGAACCCTTTGTTCGAAGGGTGTGTTCCTTTGTTGCTAAACTACATCTCCCAGCATCCTTTGCTATGAGCATCCAGGCCAGGGTTCCTGATCAGTGTCAGCTGGGGAATTCTGGGAGTTGAAGTCCACACATCTGAAACATGCCAAGGTTGAGAAACACTGTATTAAAGTGTTTAACTTTAATAAAGTTAACACTATACATATTAAATTATTGTTGCTGGTGGTTTTCTCGGGGTGGGTGGCTGGGTTTTAATATATATAATTATTGTTTATATATATTTTTATATACATATATATTATATATAATTATTGTGCCATAATCTTTTGGGACACCCTTTGCAAGTAATTTCTGGCTTTAAAATGCCCTCTGTTCTTAAATTTGGGGGGGGGGAGCACATTTTTGCAGATAATGGAAAGATTTGGACCCCAAGTATTATAAGCTTTCAGATGACCTAATAAAGATCTTGCCTAAATTGGGTGTGTGTGGGGTCCCCACAAGTCAGTCATCCCCAAGAATAACACACCCTGCCTTATTGCTGACCTCCTGCATATTTAAATCTATTTAAAAAGGCGAAGACACCCTTTTGTCTTGCTAAGTAGTTCCCAGCTTCCTTATCTGCTTTTTCATTGTCCTAGCTTCGAGGAACACAAATAATTTACAAATGGTTTAGCAACAGCTGCTGGTGGGGGAGAGCCTCAAGGAAGGGGCTGAAATGCTAATCATGAAACTGATGAGGTTCAAGGGAAATAATGTCCCCCCACCCTTCCTTTAAGCAGAAGAAATGATCACGATCCTTGAAAAAGGAAGAAACCACCCCATTTTAAACATTAATATTTTTGATTCTGGCGTCTAATGAGATTTCTTTTACTGGGAGAGTCAACTGATTGGTGAGATCACAGGTCTGGCTATGTTAGCACATGGATTTGACAAGCCACCATCTTATTCCCATCAAAGGGGTGCATAAAATGAAATTAGGATTAAATACAGCATATTTTAATAAATAAAACCATCCCTGAGCAAGGGGTGGCCCCACTAGACGTTATCCTAAACCAGTATTTCTCAACCGTAGCAACTTGAAGATGGGTGGACTTCAACTCCCAGAATTCCCCAGCCAGAAATTCTGGGAATTGAAGTCCACCCATCTTCAAGTTGCCAAGGTTGAGAAACACTGCTGTAGATATAAATGAAGTCAAAAAATAATAAAAGGAAGCCAGCAGCAAACCCACGCCAGCTTTACTCATTCACTAAACCATAATTGTACATTTATGGTTTGCTTTTGGCCTAACATGGCTTTATTTAACAATCGTCGTTAATGCAAATCTCAGCTTTCTGTGATGGATGAATAAAGTCACGCAGCCTAACCCGAGGAAAAGCAATATTTCAGGTTTTCCTACGGAGCTGCGTTTGTAGCCCGGTGGAATAGTTTCATTTTGCTCCTCGTGGGAATCCTGTTGCTCTTCTGGTTCGAGAGCAAAGCGGGACGTTTTGCAAAAGCGCAACAGCCTCTCGCTTTGCAGACCTGACTTCGTGACTTCCAGGCAAGTGTTTTGAGCTGGGGATGGGGGGAGATGTGGAGTTTGGGGCGTGTGGTTGATCCTTTCTCTCTCTTGCCGGGATATTGTTTGTAGCATATTTTAATTAATGAATTAATGATCTATTTAAAATGTTCATTTTATTTTTACTGTACACCGCCCAGAGTCACTCCACAGTGAGATGGGCGGTGACAAATTTGAAATCTAAATAAATAAATAAATATAAATGCTCCTGTTTTCCTTCTTTTTTAGCTGACCGGAAGCTTCCAGACGTTTGCAAGGCGGCCGAGACAGAATTCCTTCGCCGCGCCTGACGGTCTGATGCTTCGGCGGCAGCCATTTTAACCTGCTCTTGGCGGTGGGTGTGCAAGGCCGGCCGAACTTCAGCCAAATGGCGAGGGCCCGGCTGCGGAAGGAGAAAGGGCGCTCCCGGCCCGGGCCGGAGAAGAAGATGGAGCCGGCCAAGAGACGTGGGCTACGGGGCAGCACTCAAAGATTGCAAGCTGAGCTCGACTTGGGAACAGGCCCCCAGGCCTCTCCTGCACCCCACGCTGGAGGGACAGGGGGGTTCCTGGACGTGCCACCCCAGCAAGAGGTCCCCTCCCAGCTGGACCCAAGCGTGCTTCATCTGTGGGAAACGCAGTTCCAGGAGTTCCTGAAAGACTCTGTCTTCGAGCAGCGGCTGCTGGAGGAGCTGAGCCCCTGGGAGGACCCCAGGGCCTTCCTGGCCTCCTTTGAGAAAGTGGCCGTGGCCTGCCGCTGGCCGAGAAAAGAGTGGGTGACGCGGCTGCTGCCGGCTCTCAGCGAGGAGGCCGAGAAGGCCTTTGTCAGGCTGGCGGCCGAGGATCGGGAAGACTTCTGGAAGGTGAAGGCGGCCATCCTGCGCCGGGAGTCCACCGCCCGGGAGAAGCAGCGTCAAGAGTTCCGCCGGTTCTGCTACCAGGAAGCCAACGGCCCGCGGGAAGTCCTCGCCCGGCTCCAGGGGCTGTTATGCCAGTGGCTGCGTGCCGAGAGGAGCAGCAAAGAGCAGATTCTGGAGCTCCTGCTTCTAGAACAGTTCCTGAACATCCTGCCGCGGGAAATGCAGAACTGGGTCAAGGAACGCGCCCCGGAGACGTGTGTGGAAGCTGTGACTCTGGCAGAGGACTTTTTGAGACGGCTCCAAGCGGCCGAAAGGAGGGGAGAGCAGGTGAGAAACCCCTCTTTCCCCTGGTTAGTTGTAGAAGTGCTGTACAGGTAGTCCTCACTTAACGACCACAATTGGGGCCGGCAACTCTTGCCAAGCAACATGGTCATTAAGCGAGACATCATGTGACTGCAACTTGTGATTTTACTTCTCCATTGACTCTCCTTGTTGGAAGCCAGCCATGAAGCGCACAAACGGTGATCATGTGACTGCAGGGACGCTGCGACGGTCGTAAATGCGAGGACCGGTCGTAAATGCGAGGACCGGTCGTATAGTTACTTTTTCAGTGCGGTCATAATTTCGAAAGATCACTAAACAGGGCAGTTGGGCAGTCGTTAACCAAGGATTACCTGTACAGCTAGGACACAATTAATGCAAGTTTGAATTGTGTGATATCTGGTCTAGTGCAAATTGTTAAATTGGTACTAGGTCACATTTAATACGATCCAAAATTCAGTTAATGCGAGGCTAGTGCGTGTGTTGTGGCTTTAGACATTGCTAATTTGTGTGTGTGCAAAATGGAGAAAAGGAAGATTCTGTCAGAGGAAAAGAGTACAAGCTCAAAAAAGAAGAGCCTTGTTATTACATTAGAATAAAAATTTGACGCAATTGAACGACATGAATGCGGTCATAACAACGCTAAAATAGAATGAGATGATGGAATGCCTGAATCTATGGTACACAATATTACAAAACACGCAGGGGAAATAAAAAGGCAAAGGTACATCAGCTTTTTGTGGTTTGCAAACATCTACGAGGAATAGAAGTTTACAATAATAGAAAAGCAGAACATCTTTTAATGTGATGGAATGGAATTATGAAGGCCAGGCTCAGGGAGATAAACATTTTCTTAGATCGCC